AAAAACAATAAAAACAATTTAAAACAAAACAAAACTCAAAAGAATAAAAGTAGGTTTTAGAGTTTGGCAGTGAAGGAGTCTGTCCAATTGGTAGGTTACTGCATAGATGAAGAGCAACAATAGAGAAGGCCCCGCCCCCTCAGCTTCAGCCAACCTGAGGGGCAAAGAACATGATAGCGATGGAGAAACACAGAGAGCTATAGTGGGGCAAGGCTTAAAAACCAAAAAACAACTTGACTGCAGAACAGCTGTTCTGCAATAACTAAAAGCACCAGTATCCATCCATTAGTTTGAAGCCTGATCTAATACCTTTCTTTCGTTCACTCAATCACTGAGGATAATCTTTATCACATGTTCCCATTGTTTGATTCAATGCATATACATTATTTATGTAGAGTGAAGATGATGCCAGGAAAGATTGAAGGGATTGTTTTTTCTTCTGTTAACTGGAAGAAGGATACGGTGATGGCTTGCTTGTTTGATGCAAATGTTGGAGGAGAATGTAGCGCAGCTTAGGTATGGAGAGTGTTACTGGGAGTCGGTGGGTTTGAGCCTCTTGCTGGAGCTTTCACAGCAACAAAGACGATGTGATGCTTTGAGAGCTGCTGGTAGAGAGAACCTGAGATAGTATGGAAGGAGGACAGCAAGGGTTGAGTCCTGAGGAGTGAGAGAGATCCAGTGGGGAAACCTGGTTAATATCCAGGTAAACACTTAGGTGAGCAAAAATCTCAAATGCATGAGACACGGAGGGCATGACTCCATGACTCTACAGTGCAGGCTGACATGAGGAGATATCCTGCCACTATAATTAAGGGACGTTAGAAAATAAAAACACCATCTGAGAAAATCTTATTTTAATTTTTTTCCCAACAAATAATGGATTGGTGGGCTGTTTATGGAACTTTGAGACAAAAATATCAATCTAACTTTTCATTACAGATTTATTTCCTCTTTCATTACACTTATATGAAGCTTTGACTCAGTACACATGACAATAATGATAGTTTTTACTCACTTTTAGGATCTGTTCTGATGTTAAGGATATACTATCATAACCGCTTTCCTCTGTGAAGAGACCTACATCTTTATAGGTGGATCAGAGGCCATTTCTAACTGGTTGGTTGAACACCAGGGGGTGCTATTAAGAAAGGAAGGCAATTCATCTGAGATCATGTTTTAAAATTTATATAAAACTTCATTTTCTGCTCCTTTTTTAAAATTTTTTAGGACAGAAATTTTTTTTACCTCAGAATCATATTTGGTTGGAAAATATCTACGCTGCATCATAATTGATTCTAGTTGTAGTTTACGCCTCTGAGGCAAAAGCCATGATCCAAAAATTAAGAAACAGGCTTTCCTTTTGTATCTCTACAGTTGTCACTTTAAAAGTTTCTGATCAGAAATATTTTCATCAGACATATTTTATAGGAAAAGGAGTTAAAAGGTCCCTTTTTGCAATGATTGTTATTTATAGATAGCATTTTTTCACAAATCTAATAAGGCTTAATGATGCAGTCATCAGCACAGTGACTGACAGAGACTGTTTAAATGGTAATTTACAAATAAACCTGTAGAGGTCTCTAATCCCAGCTCTGGGATGGAAGGGGTTCTGTCCTTTCCTTCTCTTCCTCTTGTGCTTTTATCATATGGATTTCTCTTTAAAGGAGCAGGTGCAAAGTATTGCCACTAGGGGGCATCAGGATCTATGTAAAGCCCTAAATTCTTCTTGCCTTCTGTTTTTTTTTTTTTTTTTTTTTGGTTGGCCTTTTTATTTAAAAAAAATTGAACAGAAATATCATGCATTGTCCCTTTGTTTGAAGAATATTGCTGCTTTTAAAATTTTTCAATTTCCGTTAAATATAATATTTAGTGAGTTCATCATTAACCCATCTTAATATGCTTTAATGCAAGCTGCACATCTGTGTGTAGAGGCCTGGCCTGCTGCTTTACATTGCAAATAAACCTGTGTTTACATTGGCCTCACTGACAATTGTCTCCATGGGTTACTTTTGCTAACAACACAGGTAACCAATAAGATCTCACAGGACCAGGCAAGAGGAAGAGGTGTGTGTTGGTGTGTGTGTGTGTGTGTTGTGGACTTGGTGTGTGCTGGGGTGGGAGGGGATGTGACACAACTAGTTCTCTGGAATAAAAAAAATAAAAGGGAAGCAACAACTGACATCTCTGATCTTAACTGTGTGCGTCACTCCCTCTCTGGTTCCTGGGAATCCACAGAAAGGAAACTGATCCCAGGTCTGCGAGCAGATGAGGGCTCTTAGTTTGTCAGATGTAATGAGAACAATTTCCGTTCCTCTCTCAGGCAACTGCTGCTCGGTCACACACAGAAAGGAGCTGTATAGATAAGGTAAGCTTGCTTCTTCCTCTGTTTACCAACCTTGAGGTGCTCTGTTCTATACAACTGAAAAGAAATGAGCAAAACAAGTAGAATAAAGTAGAAAATGTGGCGTCTGTGCACTGGGTGACATGTGTGGAAGAGAAAGTGAAAGTACTTAAGTGCGAACTTTTTCCAGTCTTAACAGTTTGTGGTGCATTTAAGGCTTTTACCTGAGAATGTTTGTTAAAAAGGATTTTTTTTTTCCTTTCAGAGATAGCTCATCCATTTTGTACAAGCAGGCAGACAGGTGCAGCTTGTAAAACTAGTGAACACCTATTAAAACCTCCACTGTACTCTCTGTAGCTCTCCATCTCCTGCAAACATGCGCACCAAACTTCACTGTGCTCTCCTCAAAAGGCCTAGTTACCCAAAGTAACAAGAGGGGCTTATCATCTTCCCCCCTTTCTTGCCATGCTGTTATCAGGCCGGCCGAGTTCACACATATATACTCTGTCCTATTCTGTTAAAAAAAACCTTCCTGCTCTATTCTATCTCACTTTCTGACTCTCTTTTCCTCACACAGACACACAGCAGCACAAACTGGGGAATGAATGTTATGGCAGAAGGGGAGTGGTGGTGGGGGTCTTATCAGTGTCCTTGGGGGCCTGGCAGCCTCTTCACAGACTTAGATCAGAGCACCGGGGCCACAGGGACAAACCTATGTGACCAGACTGTTGATGAACAAAGGGCTCTACAGTTGGAGTGTCTATAGAAGCAGCAGGCTGCAGGGCACGCTAACAATGAACCCATATGAGCAGGGCGCCGCGCTGTGCAGCCGTGGCTCCTGCTCAGTGGAGAAACAGCTGGGCTGTAAACTCAGTCCTCACTGTCTGTTTTCCAACATAAACAGTTGTTGATTACTCATGTGTGCTTTGACCTGAACAGCCATGCGACCATAAAGCAGTCAGATGCAAAGCAAAACTTGAGCGAGAACTAACCACTTGGCCGTTTCGCCAAGCTAAAATGGTTAAAAAACATAAAATCTACTCTTGTTTTAAATAAGATTTTCAAAGTAAATTGTTTCACATGAGTATTCATACTCATTTGTTTTTTTATTTTGTTCCATTTACTGAGATTTGAACAAAAAAATCTGAAAAAAGAGACCTTTTAAAATAACACCCATCTATTTTCTGTCACGCTTATCCCAAGCAGGGTCGCAAGCGGTGCTGGTGCCTATCTCCACCTGTCTACGGGCGAGATACACCCTGGACAGGTCGCCAGTCCATCGCAGGGCAACACATAGACAACCAACCATTCACACACACACTCACACCTAAGGAGAATTTAGAGAAACCAATTAACCAAACGGTTATGTTTTTGGAGTGTGGGAGGAAGCTGGAGTACCCAGAGAGAACCCATGCATGCTCAGGGAGAACAGGTCATGCAGAAAGACCCCGGGCCAGGAATCAAACCCGGAACCTTCTTGCTGCAAGGTTGAGGTGCTACCAACTGCCCCACTGAGCCCTACTAAATGAACACCTGAAAAATAAATGTTTAGTGAAAATAAGTATATCCATCCATCCATCCATCCATTTTCTTACACGCTTGTCCCGAGTGGGGTGAAAATAAGTATATGAAGCCACCAAAAAAGAAAGCAGAGTTCGCCTTTAGGATTTAATCTTAGTATGACTCCCAGAGTTTTGGGAACGCTTCAGAAGATTATAAAAGAATGTTAAAGAAAAAACTGCATCAAGAGGACCAAGAAACACAGCAGAGAGGTCAGTGAGGAAGCTGTGAGGATTAGTTACATAATCTGTAAATAACTCTCATTACCCATTTAACCTGTACAACAAGCATATAGGCAGAGGCAGCTGAAAGGTATATAGCTACTCTGGAGGAGCAGTGGAGCACCAGATATCAGGGAGAATCTGTAGCCAGAATAAATGTTGGTAAAGCACTCCACAAATTTGATAAAGACTGACAAGAAGAAGGCTTTGGGAAAAGAAAGAATAAGATATCCTGTTTGTCCTTTGGTCACAAGTCATGCAGAAAGAGCAAACCTGGGAAAGACAATCAGAGGCAGAGAGACAAAGAGGCAAAAAAGAGGAGCTGTTTGTTCCATCATTGCTAAAATCCTTCAAGGATTCAATCTGTTGATGAGAAAAAAGTGCCCACGTTACAGAAGTGCAATTTGTGAAGGAAGACTTAAGGTTGGTTTAATGACGCAGAGCAGAGGCGGTGTCATGCTGGAGGATGCTTCCCTTCAGTAGGGGACAATGAGGCCTGTAGTAAAAACACATTTTTGGGATCGCTCCATATCAAACTTGGTCCCTGGAACTCACTATTTCATTCTACCATGTCTGAAATTGAGAGTGTGCCCAATGTTCCCTTGGGAGGTGTTTAGGAACGTCCCACCAGAAGGTGGCCCAGGGGACGATTTAAAACGCCTCAGGTTTCCCCCAGTCGAAAGAGGAAGACATTGTGTATGAGTTCTATCAAGTATTGGTCTACAACATAAAACCCTGTTGTAGTTTGTGGTACTAATGCAGCATGATCGGATAAGTGCGCTTGATGAGTTTACCATATCCTGCACGACAACTTTAAGCAAACCTTTAATTGCATCTTTGTCACTAGGCAGTGGTGGTATTTGCATGAATGTCTGCAAAAGGCAATCCCCTCTAATGGGCCCCTGCCAACTCCAAACCACATGCACAGACTTGACTAAAGAAGCTCCACACTAAGTTGCATCAGTTCCTGCTTGAAAATATCTCAAATTTGTAAAAAAAAAAAAAAAAAAAAAATATTTTCATTCTTAAGAAATGTTTTAAAGGCTTCTATGAGGCGTTTAGAACCCTAAAGAACTAAAATAAAATCCTTTTTTTTTTAGATTAGGGGCAAATAGTAAGGGGTTCAAACTAATTAAAATATGCATTTTAGCCTTTAGCATTTTAGGATACAATTTACAAACTTTTAAACAACAGATTTCTCTTTTATTCTGTAAACAGAGACCAATTTGTTTCTATGAACTGTCCCTGTTATCTGTGTAGCTTATTAAGCCCTCTTTCTTTAACCTCAAGACTTTACACTGATAAAAAAAATGGTTTCAAGCATTTTTATGCGAACATTTGCAAAGCCCCCGTGGTTTCTCCGTTGTTCAGTATTAATGCTCCTCTCCCACATGTATATTCTATCTTTGCATTATTAAAGTACTTATATTCAGTGCTGTTTTCTTTAGAGATTCCACCTTTCCACCCAAAGCTGATCTACTCTTCTTGGAGTGTATCGATAAAGAGTGGAGGAGTGGGTGGTGTTGTTTGGGTTCCCAGCAGGGGCCTCACTATGTGGAGATGGCTTGGTCTTAGACTCAACATCATGGCTGGCTACTTTAAAACCAATTTTGGATGTAAGAAGCCATAGGACCTTTCCAGTTTTGAGGCATCTCATGTTTTGTAGAGGTTATTGTTTCAAACAAATTCAAACTTCTCTTTAATCCACTCCTACACTTTAAAATAATTTTGTAAAAGTGCAAACGAGTTTCGTTGATGAGCAAATTCTCTCCAGGTTTTCCTCTATCTCACCTCTTTCAATGCAGTTTCATCACATGCTTTGATCGTTTACAAGACAGGAATTATCCTTGTCTAAAACAAGGGCATGACATTAAAGGCCAATTTATGCTTCTGAGGCACCACTGCAACCGTCAAATCTGTCTCTGGGCGTGACCACGCCCCTCACACAGAGGTTCTGCAACCGTCGTTGCGCACCTAAAAAAAAAACCTTACTACGCGTTGGACGGTTGCAAACCCGTGCAGACCTAAAGTGCACAGACAAAAAGCAGCTGTGATTGCTCCTTGGTATGCCTTTCCGGTCTATGTGGTCGTCCTTCTCAATTCGGTGCCGGGCGCACCATTTTTAAAAACCAAGGAACAACTACAATGGAAAACTACGACAATAGGTTAATCAAGGAAGTTCGGGAGTTCAAACCACTTGTACGATGCCTCAGACAAATTATATAAAGATGCCAAGGTCTCTGCCAAAACAAAGTTCTTGTGACCATCTCATGACCCTTGTGCTTTGGCGGGAAACTGCTGGGCATCCCTAGAAATTCCAGACCAACGGTCCAGAAGCATACCAGCAAAACTGGTTCGCAACCAGACCCAAGTGACATTTGATGTGTGCGGTTGCAGAACTCTAATCTCCCCTTAAGAGAAAGTCACCCATTACTGATATTAGTGATTGTTAAAAATGTGGTTGGAATGCTCAAAGGCTGGAGCAGTACTTGTGTTAGCAACAGGTTGGTTAGCTATTAAAGCTAATGCATCGCAAACTGACAAACTAATGTTAGGTTGTTAGGCTCAGGGATTTGACTTGCAAGAGGTGATAATATTCTCTGTGATAAACTTGCTTATTTAAAATATTTAACATATTTGAAGAGGTAAATGGCCTATACTTATATAGTGCTTTTTTAAGTCCGTAGACTTGACCAAAGCCCTTTACACTACATTTACTCATTCACTCACACACTGATGATGACAAGCCATGGAAGCCAGCACCTGGGCTCAAACCGACAACTCTCCGATTGCAATGCAATCTATAATTTGCTATCTAATAGCTATTTTAGCTAACTTTAACTTTAAGGGTAAAGTCACACTCCTAATCTCCTTTTTAGCATTTAAACTGAATAAATGGGTATGTGTGGTGGCCTTTTCATTTTAAGGGTTTAAACCAAACCCGATTTTCTTGGCTAGAGCTAACAATTTAGATATTATTCCTATTGTAGAGGGCGGTCCTTTACTGTAAGGCAGAGGAAGGCAAAGGTCTGAATAATTCTGTGAATAGCAAATTTTTTGCGAATGTAGCAGAGCAAGAGCATCACCGACTCTGGGGAAAGATAAAATTTTAAACTTTTGTTAATATTTGGTCCTGAAACCAAATCAGAGACTGGTTATGGCTGTGAACTACAGTGAAAGAGGCAAGCATTTTTAATCAAAATAAAAAGACTGAGAAAACAATGTTGACTAAAGATAAACTCT